ACACAGGCTACTAAGATGGCCCTTAAAGCTCTTGGCCTCTTGGTTTCCATGCCCTTGTATTGAATGAATGTAGTACCCTGATTTTAGGGAACAGAATATGGCCAAAGTGATGGAATATTATTACCAAGATTGAATTTCCAAAGTCTGTGACTCCTGTTTTGCTAGTATGCTGTCTTTTGCTGACACTTTCACTCTGGGCCTCTTCTTGCTTGCTTGCTCCGGGGAAGCAAGCTGACATATTTTGAGTTTCCCTTGTGGTGAGACCCATATGGCAAGGAATTGAGGGTGGCCTTTGGCCAACAGCCAGTGAGCCAATGAGGTCTCTGGTCCAGAAGCCTTCAAGCAATTGAATCATGTCAACAACCATGAGTTGAAGCAGATCCTTCCTTGATTGCACATTGAGATGACTGCAGCCTGTGGGAGTCTCTGAGCCAGGATACCAAGCTATGCTCAAATTTCCATAGAAACTGAGATAATAAACATTGTTTCAAGCCACTAAGGTTTGTTACACAGCAATGGATAACGAATACACCAGATTACAAGAAGCAATAAGCCTTGAGAATGGGGCACAAAGGAAAGAGAATATGTCTATACATTTGTGTCTGTCTGAGTCACCAACCCAGACAGGATCTTTGTGACAGATGTCTACACACACTGTTTACAATCATTGCAACAACCTGGCAAGGTTAGTGTTATTCACATATTTTGGATGAAACTGAGGTTATGGAAATTCTGTTATTTGGCTCAAAACATAGCTAGATGATAGACATGAGAGAGAGAAATCAAATTCTCTCTTTTGGAAGCCTTGGGTCTTTGCATTGGAGGGGCAAATGAGGCCCATGTGGGTTGAGTAGGGTAGAAATCAGAATCACCTGAGGGTCATTTTAAAGTTAATCACATAACTTTCCTTTTCTGGAGGTCCTGGCACTGTCTCAAGGGAACCATAGCCCACAGTGTGGCTGCACCAAACAGTGTTGCACTTACACAAATTCAGCCATATCCCATGCAGCTTGAGCCTGTAAACAGAAAATGAAAATTGGGCATTTCAAGCAGGTCTGACTGAGGATCTGATAGTCCTTAGATGCCTCTGTGGTGATTAGCAAGGTGACCATGTGACTTTGGCATTCTGGTATTAGATTTTTTTTTGATTAAGTGAAAAAAATAAAACAAAAATAGCACTCAGAGCTCCACTATTTGATGGGCTCAATATATAGTCTGGTGTGTGCCAGCCTCTACCTCACTGACAACCCAAAGTTGATGAAATGGGCTTGGCTAAACAAGGACAAGTTGGGAGGAGAGTGGACAGGTGGCAAGTGCTGCTTTCACTTAGCAGTGGAAGCAAGATCATGAAAAACAGAAGGGTACACAGCAGTGCTGCATCTTAGGAAGATGAGAGTAGCCCTGGAGCTAAGGAGGTGGCTACAGAACAGGTTAGACTTTGAGAACAGGCTGTGGCTGTCTCACCAGCTCTACTACCAGGTCCTGGGGAGTTCTCTTTTCTACAATTGTCCCTTCAGCTCTTGCAGCAGCTTCTCCACTCCCAGCACTGGAAAGAGCGGAGGTAAGCCCCTCATTGCTCATGGATTTCTCATACAAGTTCCAGTCTTGCTTCCTTAGCCATGGCCTTCCCACACATGTGAGTGAAAGACATCACAATTGACTGACAAAGTCCAAAGTTTCTCCAAGAAGAGCTAATTGGAATTGTTTCTTCTTCAAAGCCTTCCTACTATCTCTCTCTTTTTTTTTGAGTTGGAGTCTCACTCAGTCGCCCAGATTGGAGTGCAGTGGCCGCTCCCAGCCACCGCAGCCTCCACCTGCTGGGCTCCGGCGATCCTTCCGCCTCAGCCTTCTCAGTGGCCGGAATCACAGGCATGCGCTACCACGCCCGGCTGATTTTTTGATTTATTGTTTCGAACCTGCGGGCTCAGGCAATCCACTCACCTCAGCCCCTTCCTACTATCTCAATTGCATTTTTGCATATACAATTTCTTTAGAGCTGGACTCCCCAGGAAATTAGCTACTAGCCCCATGAGACTATGCAGCACCTGAAATGGAGTTAATGAGACTGCAGGACTGAATTTTTCATTTAATTTAATTTTAATTAATTTAAAATTAAATGGCTGTATGTAGCTGGTGACTACTGTATTGGATAGTACAGTTCTTGAGGTTGTTCTGGATAATTTGTCCTTTTGTTAATTTATTTCTGGCTAATATTTATAGAACATTTTCTATGTGCCAGAAACTATACTTAGAGTCTTGCATATATTCATCCAATTTTTTAAAAACCCAATGAGGCTGATTATGTTATTTACATTTTGCAGATCAGAAAGTTGAATCTCAGAGAAATGAAGTGGCCTGCCTCAAATCACACAGGTAGGAAGCAGGATTCAAAATAAAGTTTGTCTGGCTCTAGTCCTGTGTTTCCTGTACAAATGAACAAGGCTAAATTAGTAAAAAAAAATAAAAATGAACACAATACAATGAAAACATAATCCTTGTTATACTGGGTTCTTTCATTTTATTGCTTAATGTAAACACTTTGGCCACAGCAAATATGTTAGTTTTTCTTTTTTTTTGAGTTGGAGTCTCACTCTATCACCCAGGCTGGAGTGCAGTGGCATGCTCATGGCCACCCCAGCGTCGACCTGCTGGGCTTCGGTGATCCTTCTGCCTCAGCCTTCCAAGTAGCTGGAACTACCAGCATGCACGGTCACGCTCAGCTAATTTTTCTTTTTTTGTAGAGGTGAAGTCTCACCAAGTTGCCCAGGCTGTTCTCGAACTTGTGGGCTCAGGCAATCCTCTCACCTCAGCTTCCCAAAGTGCTGGGATTATAGGTTTGAGCCACTACGCCCAGCCTATTAGTTTTTAAATAACCATAATTCAAAACTGTCACATCATATACTATTTCCCCTCAAGAAGCATCATCTATGAAAACATTCAGGCTGTATTGGCAATGTGCACATTTATACTATTATGACACTAAATACAAATAGTAAAAATACTCATCTGTTGTCAGCCTATGGGTCTGTGATATGCCTTAAGAAAGGCCATAAACAACTCAAAGAAGAGAGATGGTGTAGACTGAAATGACTTCTCTGTGGGGAATATTTGTAGAATGTAGGAGGTATGCAGTAAATGTTTATTGATGGTAAAGATAAGAAAAATTCTATTTCTGCTTGTCTTTCCTCTCTATTTTTTTGAAGGAATATATGAAATCTTTGTACCCGCCATTCTCAAAATCACAGAGACTCTGGCACTTTGAGAATCATAGCTGCAGTGTAATTGGGTCTGATTACATGCAGAAGAGAAATAAATTAAAATCTATGTACTATTAAAATTGTGCTAAAAACTTCATATAAGTCAAGGAGCCCCTCATTAGAATAGGCTGGAACTCTTGAATGCTTTGCATTTTCATATGTAATAACAGCATAGCAGTTAGACTATATTTCAGTCAGATCAATGTATTTTTAGTGTAGGCATTTGAAAGTAAAATTTGCTACTTATATTAACTACATAGGAAATATCTTAACTACAAGTACTATAATTTATACTGTGAGACCTTATTATTTTTTTATTCAGTAAAATTTCAGGCATAAATCTGGGATTTTATTGAATTATGATGATAATATTACATTAAATATTTTAGATTTAATTATAAAATGACACAAAAATGTGATTATTTCCAATGTTCAAAACACAATTTTTTAATACCTGAAAGAAAGCTCACATAAAGATATAAATGTTAAGGTCACTTGCAGCAAAATATGGCACATAAGAATTATTTTAAAAATGATTTTTACATCTAAAGGTAGGCATGTCATAAAATTTGTATTTTGGTAAAAGGCAACAACTTGATGCCAATATCTTGGCTGCTTACGTTAACTGTGTAACTTTTTCAAGAAAATAGATTTTCAAAATTCTACAAAAGATAAACAAAAATTTGTGTAAGAATTCCAGAAGAGGTATCCAAACTTCATTTTCCTCTGTTCTTTTTGTAAGCCTGCTGTATATCTTCAGGGTCAAGTTCTTAACTGTGTTCCCTGACCTAAAATCTTGAGGGAATATTTGGCTTCTCATCTTTTACTCTGAAGTTAAGTATTTGCTGCCTGTGGAACTTGATAAAAATTTCCCCTCACAGTTGGAATAACCTTTCTCCTGATGCACTATAAAGCCAGATAATTTTTAGGTGGCAGTAGCTAATATCTTGGCTTTAAGCAGCTGTTGAGTTCCTTTGATCCTGTTTTAACTGTAATTAAATAAATAGGATTAAACTCTTTCTGCTGTTTTCATTCCTGGACCTATAGAACTTCACCTGACACCTACCTAAAACATGAGCAGAACTTCTGGGGCCTGATGGACCAATCTACCATTTGAATTAGATATGACCTTTAGAGCGTGTCTCTACCAGATAGTCACCCGTGTGGCATTTGAAGTCTTCGTAACAGGATGCTTCATAAAACAATCTAGCCAATTAGAAAGCTCCAATTGCTTTTTCTTATACTAAAACCAAAGTTCCCTTCCTGAAACCCATTCAGTGCCTCGAGCAGTGCATGGCACATAGTAAGCTCTCAGCCACTCGATGTACATTTATTGATGGATGAAAGAATGAACAATTCTAGTTCTGCCTTTGAAAGCTACGTAGAATAAAGGTGCTCCCCTATGTAGGCCAAGGCATTCTCCCATCCTGCTGAAGTCTTCTCTTGTCTGGAACCATAATGAAATTTTCATCATCTTGTTCTTAAACATCATCATCAGATATTTTCACAGTCTTATTAATCTTCTCTGAGTGTGCTTAAATGGACCAGTAGATCTCTTAAAACGTGGTCCCACGAAACCAAAAATAATTCTCCAGATGGGGTCAGTATTGAGCGGGGTAGGAAGCCTGTATCTCTTTAGCAGGGACATCCCACCTGAAATATTATCTGACCCAAAATATATTTCTTAGACCAGTCCTTCCCTGCCTGTGTCTGAGGAGAGACATTTTATTCCGGGCAGGATCACTAGTTGGCACACGTTCTGCTCTGGGAGAATTGTTTCCCTGGGTTTCCAGGATAAGGAGGGGGTGGAGACCGCAGGGCTGAAGGCTGTGGGGTAGGGGAGTATGGAGGAGGCAAGTCTGCATGGCGTTCCATCTCGTGACCATAGGGGGGCGGTGCCGCTGAAAAAGAAAGGGAAGAGAGCATCGGGCAGTTAGCACACATTTGAGTGTCTGCTGTGTTGCAGACACCGGGTTAGATACTTTTGGGTGCCCCAAATCGTAGTTTTATCAGGCTGAGATATGTATGAAAGGGTGAGTGCTCTAAAATGTGGTGCCAAAATGTTTAGGAATAGTGGCTTAGGGAAAGTTCCTTGGAAATATGATGCTGAAGGGACGGAGGGAGAAGAAACTGAGGAACAATTCAAGTTTGAGCAAAAACACGGAAACAGGACAGCCCTTTTGTTCAAGCAAAAAGTACACGGAAGGGAGAAATGGAAAAAGACACCGAGGAGTCTGGGTGTATCATTATGGCGGGCTCTGAATGTCATGTAAGAAGTATGTGTTGTGGAGTTATCAGATATTATTTGAATATGCTAGTGAATTGCCTTGGGAAGATGACTCAGCAGTAGGGATAGAGGTAGACTGAAGTAAAGGTGTAAAGACGGAGGAGCGAGCCGGGCTCGGTGGCTCAGCCTGTAATCCTGCGCCTTTGGGAGGCTGAGGTGAGTGGATTGCCGGAGCCCGTGGGTTCGAGACCCGCCTGGGCAGCGAGACCTCATCTCTACAATAAATAAAAAATCAACCGGGTGTGGTATCGCGCGCCTGTAATTCTGGCTACTGGGAAGGCTGAGGCGGAAGGATCGCCGGAGCCCAGCAGGTCGAGGCTGCCACTGCAGTCTGGGTGACAGAGTGAGACTCCAATTAAAAAAAAAAAAAAAAAGACGGAGTAGCATATGTGAGGGGTTAGAGGGGACACATGACAGTGAGGGAGGAAATCACAGAGCCCTTGAGAAGACAAGTGTATAGGTGATGACTGGATATGTGGACAAAGGGGCGGACGTGGAAGAAAGGGTTGTGGTATTGGTACCCAGTATGGGACTTCTATAACTTGGAGGGTGGTGGAGCCATTACAGAAATAAAAACAAGAAGAAGAAAGGAAGACAAGCAGGTTTGGGAATGAGGATGAAAAATATAATTTTCTAAATCTTACTTGAAATTTTTTCTTAAATGAATTTTTCATCGTACTATATGCTGGTGTGTCCTTTTTTAATTATTTAATTTTTAAAAATTGACACATAAGTGTATGTATTTATAGGGTACATAGTGATGCTTTGATACATATAATGCATAATGATCAGATCAAGGTAATTAGCATATTAATTTCAAACATTGATCTTTTTTTGTGTTGGAAACATTCAATATCTTTAATGATTTGAAACTTTATATTATTGTTCCCTATAGTCAGCCCACAGTGGTATAGAACAGTAGGACTTATTCTTCCTATCTAGCTGTAATTCTGTGTCCTTTAACAAATCATTACCTATTCCTCCCTTCTTCCTACCATTCCCAGCCTCTAGTATTCTTTGTTCTACTTTTTATTTTCTATTTTTATTTTAATAAGAGGACAGAAAAGCTCCCACAGTGGGAGGAGACTGGAGGGGGATGCCCTCTGATCTACTTTTTAATACACTTTATGATGACTTTGTATGGATGTCTATTTTGTAGCAATCTTAATCTCATCTCCAAGGTTGGAAGAGACATACTGGAGCTGAAATTCATCCATGTCTCCAAGAAGCAATCATTCTGCAACATCTGAGCAACCCCTCAGCAACCAAGGTGATGACTTGTCAGTAGTTGAATCATTATTGCATCCTGATTCTGTTTGGAAATTGACCTGCTTTAATTGCCTACTGTGAATGTAGCCTAAATCACAAAGCTAGTGTTATAATAATGCAAATAAATGACCACACCCTTAACATTAGAATGGCCGAAAAGAACAAGCAACGTGTTTAACAAACATGTCTAAATGTTTTCTTTTTTTTTTTTGAGTTGGAGTCTCCCTCCCTCACCCAGACTGGAGTGCAGTGACACGCTCCCGGCCACCGCAGCCTTGACCTGCTGGGCTCTGGCGATCCTTCCACCTCAGCCTTCCGAGTAGCTGGAACTACAGGCACACGCTACCATGCCCGGCTAATTTTTTGATTTATTGCAGAGATGAGGGCTCGCCAAGTTGCCCAGGAGGGTCTCAAACCTGCGGGCTCAGGCAATCCACTCACCTCGGCCTCCCAAAGCGCGGGATCTAAATGTTTTCTAATTTGTGCTCTTCCCAAAAAGAATTTGATAGCGTTCTGATAAACAGGCATATACAAACATAGGGCCTCAACCAGTATGCAGACATAAACTATGTTTCTTTCTAGGTCCTTTTAGTTTGCCTCTCTTTAATGAGAAGTAGATGATTTGAACCATTTACTGATTCCCCTATACTCGGAAGATGTAAGGAAGCAGAAGTGAGCCACTGAAGAGAAGAGGAAGAACAGCCACTGAACTGGATGAGATGTCTCCTGCACACAGCTTCACTGAGCAAGGCCTTTGCAGGTCTCTAGTGGGCGGAGCAAATCGAGGGCATTCTGCAGGGGACCAAGCTCTAAAGAAATCAGTGAGAATGTGGATAGCTTTTCCAATGCTCCTTCAGACCCCTGGAGCTTGGGCTACTCCAAGCTGTACTATTTTTTGCAACAAAATGGAATAACTCCTGTGAAGTTTAAACACACATTTCCTCTGCATTACACCCACTCCTTGGCTTCATTATATCTAGGAGCACTGAGACAAAGAGATTTATAAATAAACTCCATCCAAGTGAAGAATGAAACACTGCAGCCTCCATGGAAAATAGAATGTTCCAGCTGTATACCCATTGAACTGTTTCTTATAAGTATGTGGTTCTATGTTGTTTCTATGTTGAAGCTTTTCCCTGCTTCCCACTGGAGAAGCACACACCAGCTGATTCTACAGATTGACTCTCTGGCACTCTCTGTCATGAAACCATGGTGTGTGTTTATGCATCCATCACAAAGCATTTATATTCTGCTATCTGCATAAGAAATGCTAGAGGACATTTCAGCAAGAATTCCTATGGTTTATGCAGCTGCATGTTGAACAAGATAATCAAAGGTATGAAACAGTGTTCTTTCATATAACCTTTAAACTTCGATAAAGTGATAGTATACTGTTAAAGAGCGGTATTTTGAGGACTATCGTGAAATAAACATGGCATGTCTTTTATATTATCAACCACTAGAACCCCCAAGATCCAGAATTTATTTATAAAAAATTGTATATTCATTCCTACATATTACTTCAGTCGCCTTCAAAGTACTCTTCATCTGATGCAATACACCCATTGAGATGCTTTTTCTGCTGCTCAGAACAGTTTTTGAACTCATCAATTTTGATGCTTTTTAGTGCTTCTACCGTTTTTTGTTTCGCCTCTTCCACACAGGCAAAACATTTCCCTTTGAGTACTTTTTTCATCGCTGTATGGGCAAGTGCACTTGTAAATCACTCATCATGAAATAAGCAGATGCATTGAAAAAAAAATCTCCAAAAAAAAATTCACAGAAGCCAAACGCAGCCTCTCACAACAATACTAGCTAGTACACTGATGCTGATGGGATCCTACAACACTTACCTAGTAGGGCAGTATGTATTACAAGGGACCCTCCCTCCAAAAGATAATTCCTAATTTTTTGGGTCTCCCACTTGTATTTGAGATAAGACTTGTATAACTGTGGTAGGTGATAGCTTTCTTTTTTTGCAGATAATAAGGTTTCACTAGGAAGCAAACTTTTCAAGTATCAATTTTAGAATTCCTGATCAATCTTAAGAGGTTTTCTTCATTTACAGGTCTAATAATCATTACAAGACGTATGAATGTAGCTGGAGACATGGTGCCTTTGAAATTTTTTCATAAGCAACATCCCAGTGCTCTGATATAAGTAGGGAATATATGCCAGTTGTCTTTGATGTTGTCTATAATATTTTTAAAAATTTAGAAATACTATGAAATTCAGAGAAGAAATATGTAATGTTTTCAGCCCACTCAGGCCAATATTTCCTTTTCTTTTCCTTTTCTTTTCTTCCCACTTTCTCTTCTTCCTTCCCTCCCTCCTTTGTTTTTTCCTTTCTTTCTTCTTTCTTGAGTCAGGGTCTTACTCTGTACCCTAGACTGGAGTGCAGTGGCATAATCACAGCTCACCACAGCCCTGACCTTTGTAGACTCAGGCAATCCTTCTGACTTAGCCTCTGGAGCAGCTGGAACTACAGGCATGTGCCACCACACTGGGCTAATTTTTTGACTTTTTTTTCCTGTAGTGAGGAGGTCTCACTACGTTTGCCTAGGCTGGTCTCGAGCTCCTGGGCTCACACAGTCATCTTGCTTCGGCCTCTCAAGGAGCTGGGATTACAGGCACGGACCACTGCACCCAGTCTAGGCCAAAATTTCTAATGTTAATGTTGTGGGAAGATGCATGATGTTATTGAAACTATTAAACTTGTAGAAAATTTGGAAACAGGAGAAATACATCCATAATCTTGTCACTGAAATTTAGCCATGCTTTTGCATACTATCTTTGAGCCATTTGTATATATTTATATCCTTGCAGTCAGATAACATGCTATAACTTTTCCATTTTGTATTACAAGTCTTTTTCATTCTACTACATATTCTTCATAAAATTGATTGTTAATGGCTATGTGTTATCCCACTGACCCATTCACGTGTTTTTAGGTTATATTTTTAAATCATAAATCATGGAGTGATGAATATTTTAGAGGGACAATATTTTTTTACACATAGGCTTTTTATTATTTTATATATTTTTAAAAATGAAATTCCAGAAATTGATTCACTGGCTTAAATAACATGTAAGTTTTATTATTATTGAAAACTACTTTCAAAACAAATAGTTTCACTTTTTAAGGATACCAGTAAGGCATACGGGCACACTATCAATTATATTTTGATAATTTAGTAAGTGAAAAAATATTGCATTTTATTTTACTTTATTTCAGTTATTTGATAATAGCTATTGTTTTACATTTTGTTCATTCTGTAATTCATACTGGAAAATTTGGGTTTTGTTCTGGATTAATAATTTAGAAATGGGGTTGCTTAATTAGAA